TTTTTTTAACAGTGAAGTTTGACTTCCTGATCATCTGAGTTTGGGTTTTTTAACAAATTTTTGTCAGTGAAGGTCAGTGGTTCCCAAACTTTTTCTCCTTTGGATTGTCAAGGCCCCCACAAGTTGAAAACAAACACAGATATTTCTTCAAATCTACACTGGACTTTATTTTGAAAAACTGTTGTTAATACAAAACTGCTGTTCTCATTGAGTCAGTAAAATAAAACTACAGACCAGTCTCTGCTATTGTAATAGGTCCGTGCCCCCCACTTTGCAAACATGTTTACTTACTGGTGCAACTCCTCCATTCTCCTGCAAGGGCTGCTATAAACACAGTCTGTGACCTGGATGTTTTTATAAATCAAGTCATACCTGACTGAGTTGCTGCTGATGGGGCTGTACACCTCCGTCATTGTTACAGCTCCTCTCTAGACTCATATAATTCTTCAACTACATTTATTTTAGACCTCAACTCCTCGGTCTGATCCGGCCCCTCCCCCGCTTCATTCTCTTTGAGTTTTAATGGCAGCTCGCTGTGTTTGTATCGCACCAATAAAAAGGCCCGACCGATGACAAAAACAAAAAAACACCGCACACCCACGTACACCTCGTTTAGCTAATTAAATGAAGCTGAAGGAATTTGAATGATTCCACATTTTTAGGAAATCCCTGTGTTTTCTTCACTTCAAATTTAACTGCTGCGCTTGGACTGAATCCCTGTGAAGAAGCAGAAACGTCCGCCTCAAGTAACAAACCTGACAAAAAACTCCTCTGCTTCACACATGACCAGTAAAACGAATGAAGCATGTTGAAAAAGTTACAAAAAAAAAGAGAATGTAAGTCAACTCCTGAGCTGCTGTCATAAAACGCTCACTTGTTGGTTTAATCTTAACTGCCGCACTAAAAGGGTCACGGCGAGGAGAGCCAATGACAAATTGATAAAGCCGTGAAAGGAGGTACCATCCATTTACTGCTCCCTGTGGAACTTCCTGTCAGGTAGACGGCACCAGAGCTGTAACGGAGATCAGAGGAGCAGGCTTGGTGACCTGTGTCTGCTGGTGTTTGGCTTCACCTTGCTTTAATAAACACCTCGGCGCGGGCGGAGGGAGAGGCCCCGCGTCCTGCAAACACAGGCCTGTCACATCAATGCACAGACTGAGTGACTGCCTGCAATATTAACAAACACTGCATGTGGTTGCAGTTTTTGTTAGTGCTTTTTTTTTTTTAACTTCAGTACCCCCCCCACTTCCCCCCCCCCGTCTCAGTGTCTCACAGGTGCATCTTCTCTGGGCTGCCCCGCTCTCTCTCTGGCTGCCACGTCCGACTGGCCCCAGATTTACTGCCCTGACGCAGGAATCCATTAAAAGCCTGTTTAGGGATCCCAGGCCCGAGCCCCTCCAAAACCCCTTTCATTATTAAAGCTGCGAGCTACCATGGAAGAGGACGGGCTCGGCCAATCGGCAGCGAGCGGCCGCCGCCACATGTGTTCGTTTTTCAGACCGACGGCTGAGAGGCTTAAATGGCTACTGCAAACTTCTCCTCCACTGACTTTTATAGAGAAAGTGGCACTTTAACTCTGTGCGTGTTTTTTTTTTTTCTAGTGTGTGTGTGTGTGTGTGTGTGTGTGTGTGTACAAGTGTGTGTCTGTCCTCACTGGCCGAACACGGGCCCTAAATGAGGCCAGACCAGTCACACGTTACATTCCGCCGCTCTGGCTGGCACTGCATCGGCCCTAATCAAAACCGGCTTGGTTCACAGTT